CTGCGGGAGAGAGACGCTGTTAATGGGGGCCACACAAAGAAACAACTTAAACACACACAAAAAGCACTGGCCAAGTAGGCCATGAAACATCTTGATTATCAAAGATCTTTTTCAACAAGCCAGTAGACTGCTGTGTTTCATCCATGTTGGTTTATTTACAAAGGGTAAGATCTGAATACCTACAATCTGGCCACCCACAATCAATGACGGATAGATTTATAGACAGAAATTGAGATAAATGGCAGATAGACAGATAGAGAGGGGTCGAAGGAAAACGACGACAGGCCTCTCTGACACCTCTCTGATGGTACATATCTTCTCGTGAGATGATCACTAAGCCTTTGGCATAGGTGGCACTTCCACTAAATTCTGAGAGATTTTAGGCAGAGACGGGCGCGTAGAATCGGGTTCCGAGCCTTCTGCAGAGCTTGCAGTGTCGCAACCACGCGTTGCCAGAGACGCGTTATCGTGCGCGGACGTCAAGCGTCGCCGACGTCAAGCAACCGCAGGAATGTTCGAGCGTGCAGGACCGCTATTAGTGGCCAACACGGATACAGCCATTAATAGGTTATTTCCTCTTCGATTCAGAGTTTCTTAGAAACGTCAAGATCCCTAATTTTCCTTAAATGCCAGAACCGGATGCAGGAGACGCGACATCGCGGCAGGGGCGCTCTTTTCCACGCTCAGTGGTATCCAAAGCTTACTGTTCAGATCATTTGTGGACTCCGATGCTCCCGTTTGTGAAGTGATGAGATCTTGTGCCCGAAGAATAATCGACCGAGACCAATCCTGTCATCGGTGGGAAAGCGCACTCGCACAGCTGGTTTCTGTGAGCGCACGGCAATCCTTCAGTCTCATTCATAGAATGCCTGGGGCAGACGCCATACCACAGCCATTCCTGAATTCCTTAGATCGCTTGGGAGCTCGAGTCTGGTCGTGGCAGAGGAGCTCTAATCAAAGCAGGTATAGTTAAAGACTTGGTCCAGCTTTCACAATAAGTTGTCTGTATATCATACATGTCACTGGTCCTGATTGCAAGTCTTTTTTATCCATCCCACCTGCTTACTTTTACATCTATTACGCCCTAGTCTTTTAGGGATTTTCAATGATGGGCCTGATGTCTAACCGAAGAATGGCAACCCTCACTCACCAGACCTGCGAGGACATCCCTGACTGCGAGGAATGTCTTCCAGTGGTATTGGACCTTCACGCCCAGTATTCCAGAAATTGACGGCCTCTACAAACTTCAGATCGGCTCTCTGATATCCAAAAGACTCCTGCATGGGACCACCGCGAAGGCCCTACTGGAATTCGTATCTGAATGTAACGCTGGCTTCCACCCGGATGCCCCACTACCACAGTGTCGTTCTCGGTGAGCACGCGCATGTGTACACACTATCTAAGAAGGGAGGGGCTGCACAGAGCAATACGGTTTTGTGGCCGTGCGCCGTGTCACTTTTTAGAACGATAAATAATGGGCTCAAGGTAGCCAAGCAATATGACCATGATCAGTCATATCAACATGCCGAAACAACACCAGTAACAACTCCAGCTACAGTGAAGAGATACATACACATCACAGAGTTTGTAAAAAAAAATCCTTCGGAATGCTGGCCAGCTGCCGCATATTTATTTTTCTTAATTACTATGTCAACTCGTGGCTGTCATAACAGGGGTTCCCTCCGGTGCCAAGTCGCCGGTGCAAGCGGGTGCCAGTGCCGGTGGGCGGGGCCAGTGGGTGGGCGGCCCTGCCACCGAGCCACCATCACAATCCACTATTTTCGTCATGGCTTACCAGCGGCGACGCACTTCCTGGACGTCATTTCTTGGGAGCCAATGACGCCGGGGACGACGCGTCTCGGGGGGGGGGGCTTGCTTTCTTGCAGGCCTCCCGCGACCCCCGTCAGGCCGTATCTGATGAAGTCATCGACGCTGCGTATCCGGTGAGTGTTATGGGCAAGGGTACGCATAGTGGGTGTAGGGGACACAGAGCCGCGCCCACCACGACCACCACCGGCCCTGGCATCCGCGGAATGTGCCCAAACCTGCGTCTTGACCTGCCCGGCCGGTCTCGCCACCAGCTACGCACTTCACGTCAAAGGCAACTTTATCTCTATCTCAATATGACCTCGACATGCACGTCGAAAACATCGACACAACCCGGGCTGCTCCTCTTCTTCCATTCTCCTGCTTCTTAACAGTTTGGATAAGGACACAGGTTATGACTGCACGAAAACAAAGAGAGAAAGGGAGAAAGAGAGATAGAGAGAAAGAGAGAGAGAGAGAGAGAGAGAGAGAGAGAGAGAGAGAGAGAGAGAGAGAGAGAGAGAGAGAGAGAGAGAGAGAGAGACTAGCGTTACATCAAATAGTTTCATTTTCAAAATAAACAACTGTTTCCCAGTTGCACCTCTGATGCTGAAAAAGTTATGTTTGACATATTTAAGATGCACCGCCTTTATACATAAACTAGAGGCAATGAATCCGAACCGTGATCAGCTTTCTTGCTTCAGAGACAGGTGTGGGCGGTCTGGTCGAAAAAGTCCCATTTCCACATCAACTGAAAAATACCCGCAGAAACAAACGGCTCCTTTACATGCTCGGGAAAGAAAAAGAAGCAGATCCCTCGTCGACGAATAACTTTCTCGGGCCGATAATTGTCAGCCCGGCACGGGGCTCAGCTGCGCTCCTCCCTGACGGCGGCGGAGGCAAGCATGTGTGACGCCGAGGTCCTCACGTGGCGCTTCTTGGAACTATTCCTTACGTGCCGCGGACCCGGTGAGGCTGAGGACCTCGCCCTTCCTGCTGGCCCGCGCTCGACGAGGCCCTCGGCGAACCGACAACTCTGAGGACGATCTCTCATCGGTATATGGAAACTATCATAACAAAACCACAGTAAGACCATATAGGACCATATAGGAAAAACGAAAATAAGGGGAGTTCCTTTTGCTGCTGGATCAATGATGTGTGTGTGTGTGTGTGTGTGTGTGTGTGTGTTTATTTGTGTGTGTGTGTATGTTTGTGTGTATGTTTGTGTGTGTGTGTGTGTGTGTGTGTGTGTGTGTGTGTGTGTGTGTGTGTGTGTGTGTGTGTATGTGTGTGTGTATGCGTCTGTGTGTGTGTATGCGTTTGTGTGTGTGTATGCGTGTGTGTGTGTATGCGTGTGTGTGTGTGTGTGTGTGTGTGTGTGTGTGTGTGTGTGTGTGTGTGTGTGTGTGTGTGTGTGTGTGTGCGTGCGTGGTGTGTGCGTGTGTGTGTGTGTGTGTGTGTGTGTGTGTGTGTGTGTGTGTGTGTGTGTGAGTGTGTGTGTGTGTGTGTGTGTGTGTGTGTGTGTGTGTGTGTGTGTGTGTGTGTGTGTGTGTGTGTGTGTGCGCGCGCGCGCACGCGTTGCGCTTGTCTACATAACAAGCAGAGGCCGGCGGCGCGCGGGGGGCGGCGGCAACCCTAACAATGTCTGGCATGGCGCGTTCCAATCTCGTCTCTCATCACTATCCGCTGCACGTCTTCGTCCTCGTCCTCCTCCTCCACTGCCGCCGCTGTCGCCGCACACAGACTCGCCTCTATTTATTTTTAGCGCAGTAAAAAAGGACATCACCACAAATAAACGTTCGAGTGTAAGTAAACAAACGATCCTTTAAACCATCTGGCAGGTGTGCGTTATACGGTAATGTTGCCACAGTGAATTAAAAGATTTTAATCTAAGCTCGTTTAAAAGGAAGCGAAAACACATACAACCAGAATAAGATCACCTCCAGTAAATATGATAACAGCCTGAGCATCGGGACGTTACGACCGTGTGTGTGTGAGGCCGTAGCCAGAGCCAGACACAGGAAAAAGGAGACGGGGTGGCATCTTCGGCACGTGGTAGTCCGGGCAACTCTCCCGCCGCCGTCAAACACAGCCGGACCTGCTGCAGTGCTAAACACATTTCTTATTACCTTCTCTTTATTCTTGGTCACGTAAGAGATGGCGGGTTATGATAGGACATCATGGCCATCAGCATTTTGGGATGCGACCAAGAGTAGACGGGAAAGAAACCAAGGGAGCCGCGCTGAGTAATTTAAGAGGTGTCGATACCCCTGGCTCAGCGGTTTCTTTGTTGCAGGTTTGGGCGACTAACCACAGAGGGCGCGGGGGGAGGGGGCACTGAAAGGATTCGTGATAGTAACTGCAGCCACAAACAAATAAACACACTAAAGCACGCACACGAAAGAGCCAACCATCGCACTAGCCTCACGGCATTTACCTGCAATTTATACAAGAACCACAGATTTACAGCTAAAGACTCTTCAGTCCCCTTTTCTCTCCATCCGCATATGCCCCCCGCCCTCCCACCCGATCCTTGGCACAAATACCAATTATTGCAGCTCCTTTCAAAACGGTAGAGTTATACCTTTATACCTGGTTATCGTCGACCAGTGTCATGGTCTGTACAGATATTTATATTTCCGAAAATACACATTTTTACCTTATCGTATATTTCTTATCAACATGTTCATACAGATAAATACAAAATACTAAAGGAACAAACGGCAGAAAGAGAGAGAATGGAATGGATGGACATAGAGTGTGAGCGAAACCGACAGGAAGGGACACGGAAAGAAGTACACAGCAGTTGAGGGAGAGGAAGAGGCGAAGAGAAAGGGAGAAGGGAAGGCACGGGCGATGACGAGGGGGGAGGGAAGGGAAGGAGCGTCGGCCCCGCCAGGAATGCGCGGCGGCGGCGCGGCCGGGCATCTATGCCTCTGGTGGGGCCTTGGCGTGGCACGCCCGGCATGGGGGGCCGCGGCAGTAAAACGCGGCCCCGATGTGTCTCCGTTTTCCGTCCCTGACACGGAGATCGGCCAAACGATCAGCCGAAATGCGTTTAATGTTCGTTACCGCGTGGCAAGTGACGTGCGGAATGCGACGCTAATCCCAACGGCCATGTCTTACTCCTCGCTCTGCTTCGTTTTCATGTTTTAGGGATGAGGCTTGGAAGCTCCCCTACCCTGCGTTGGTTA